ATGGGTACAGGGTACATTTGAAATCCAGAAAATTGCTATGGGTTTGCCTAACCCATGGGTGTGTGGGAAATGTCAGTCTCAGAGTAGTCGACTCCTATAATAATCACTGCCCGGCTGGCGTTTTTATACCAAGGACATAGGTTACTTCTGAAGGCAAAGAGGCAGGCTCAGGCTGACAAAAGCTGTAGATGCTGCAAATTTCTGCTGATGCTAATGGAATAATTTCAGTATATAGTATGGTAAGGAGTTTAAGTCATTTAACGGTCAAATTTATTAAAATATAAACTGTGTTTTTCTTGTGGTTAGATGCCCTTGTTGATTAGGTAATGAATTCTAATTTGTTTCAAGTAAATTCATCAAAGGATACTAGTTCTAATATAGATTATTTTCTAATTATTATTACTAGAGGCTCAGTGCACGAATTCGTGCATGGGTGGGGTCCCTTGGGGTGTCCTGTGGGGATTGGACCCCAGCTCTTGCCCCCAGGCTTGCAGCCCTGCAGCCCGCCTGGCACCCCGGTGTGGCCTGGTGTTGCCCCCTCACCTGCTCCACCATCCTGCCTGCGGGGTAATTGATCGGGGCTGGCTCCCTGCTGCCGCTGGTCACCGTCTGCAGCGCGATCAGCGGGGCAGTCGGGCCCCTGCTCGCACCTGCCTTGGCCTGGTGCTGCCTGCTCACCTGCTCCACCATCCCACCATAGTCCTGCTCTTGTCGGGGCCCATTGGGGCCGGCAGCGCCTCCACTGCCGCCCTCTGCCAGCGCTGCATCGCCAATGCCCGCCATGTTCCGCGCCGCCTCCTGGTGGTCAGCACACGTCATAGAGAGTGGTCAAATTCCCGGTCGAACAGTTGGCATATTAGCCTTTCATTATATAGGATTATTATTTTTTTTTAATATATTTTATTGATTTTTTACAGAGAGGAAGGGAGAGAGATAGAGAGTTAGAAACATCGATGAGAGAGAAACATCAATCAGCTGCCTCCTGCACATCTCCTACTGGGGATGTGCCCGCAACCCAGGTACATGCCCTTGACCGGAATCGAACCTGGGACCTTTCAGTCCGCAGGCCTACGCTCTATCCACTGAGCCAAACCGGTTTCGGCAATATAGGATTATTTTTTGCAATCAATATTTGGCAGTGGAGGTGGCAGTAGGAAACCTGAGTTTTTTGTTGGATGTGGTCAGTACCTTTTCTAGCCTCAGTGTACAAATGTGGAGTCTGTACTGGATCATTTCTAAGGAACTTGAAATTCTGGAATCCATGATCATGTTAGTATTAAATTTATAATTTATAAAGCAGAAACAAATGTAGCCCACTAGAGGGAGCACTGTTCTTTTATAATGTTCTCAATTTTATTGAAAAATACATCTTTTGCCGAAACTGGTTTGGCTCAGTGGATAGAGCGTCGGCCTGCGGACTGAAAGGTCCTGGGTTCGATTCCGGTCAAGGGCATGTACCAGGGTTGCGGGCACATCCCCAGTGGGAGATGTGCAGGAGGCAGCTGATCGATGTTTCTCTCTCATTGATGTTTCTAACTCTCTATCTCTCTCCCTTCCTCTCTGTAAAAAATCAATAAAATATATTTTTAAAAAAAAGAAAAGAAAAATACATCTTTCATATAAGAATGTATAACTCGTAGCTGAACAATTTATATAATAATGATAAAATGAACACCTGTATACCCACAATTTGCATCTTTTCCTCAGAGGTCATCAGTATCTTGATTTCTGTCTTAATCATGCTCTCACTTCTCTTTAGTGTTTTAACACTTAACACATATCCATAAACAGTATATTGATTTGTTTCTGAAATATTTTTCTGTTTTGAACTTTATATAAAAGATATTAAAGAGTGTGTGTGCTTCTCAGATTTTTTCTTATATTTCTCATGATTTTTGAGATTCATCCATGTTGATATATTTAATTATAGTTCCTGAGATTTTTCTCATTTATATTCTGTTTTGTTATATCAATATATCTTTTTCTCTTAGTGGTGATTTGGGTTGCTTTCAGTTTTTTTGCTTTATAAACAATGCTCCCACGAACATTTATGAACCTGTTTCCTTTTGCACATGTGGAAGTTTCTTTAGGATACCCAGAATTACCTTGGAGTGGAATTATATTAGAGGATATACCAGTATGCATGTTCAACTTTACTAGGTAATGCCAAACTTTCTCATACTGAGTATGCTAATTTTTATTCCAGTAGAAAATATTTGATATTGACTGACTTAAATTTTTGCCAGTCTGGTAAGTGAAATGCTGTCTCCTTGTGATGTTATTTTGATGGCTTAAGTGTTTTATTATTTTTTATTTTTTTAAATATATTTTTTGATTTTTTACAGAGAGGAAGGGAGAGGGATAGAGAGTTAGAAACATCGATGAGAGAGAAACATTGATCAGATGCCTACTGGGGATGTGCCCGCAACCAAGATACATGCCCTTGACCGGAATCGAACCTGGGACCCTTCAGTCCGCAGGCCGATGCTCTGTCCACTGAGCCAAACCGGTTAGGGCTTAAAGTGTTTTATTTTGCTCATTTTTTTTTTTTGTAAAAAATTTAGAATAGGTTCATTTGGCAGTTTGCCCTTTACCCATAAGCCATCAGTTATGCTAGAAAATTCACTTTGAAAATGGCTTCTTTCTCTGCTTACAAACATGGTGCCTTTGTGCTTTTTGGCCTCTCCTTTCTATCTGAGGTTTCATCCTCAGGGCATCTCTACATGGGTTTTTCTTTTTGTGGCAGGATGGTCTTAGGGTAGTTGCTGTCCTTCCAGTGTTGCTGGAATTATATGCAGTATTGTATGTGAATGTGAGAGTGTATGTGTGTGAGCGTGTATGTATGCATACATGCTATACTTTGGCTGGAAATAGGACTTTTGTTGTGATTGTTAGGCATCTAAAAAAAACAAAACAGGACTGGATTTCTATAAGCCATGCTCTACTTATGAGCTGGGGTAACTTTTACTGGCTTTAGAGTTCAATTTAATTTGTATTTTGGAATCATTTGGAGATATCTGCCTTGGTAACTTAATACCAAAAATTTAAGCTATCTTTCAATTTATTTATTTGTAACTTGATTTAATGATTTGCAGACCTCATTTTTTTCTTGCTTACTCAAAACTGACCTTTCAAATAAAGTGCAGTTATTGGATGTTCTTTTCAGAGAAGATGAAACTCAGCTTCTCTCGGTCAGTCATCTTTTTCCAAGTCTATTGTGACTGCTTTTGAATTGTTTCTCCATAGTACTCTTTATTTGTGATTCTTCTGATTCATCTCGATAGAAGTTTCCTTGTGTAGACATTGAAAAATTATTTATTTCTGCATTTGTCTTAGGAATAAGATCTTTATAATTTATTTGAATGATTTTTCCTATGGGTATCATGGACAAAATTTTAAGCCTTTATTTTGGCTTGAATAAGTAGAAAGTCAAACTGAAAAGTTAATTGCCACCTGACTGGAGTGGCTCAGTTGATTGAATGTTGTCCTGTATACCAAAATGTTGCCGGTTTGATTCCCGGTTAGGGCACTTATCAGGGTTGTGGGTTTGGTCCCTGGAACAGAAGGCAGCCAATCAATATTTCTCACTCATATCAATGTGTGTGGTTTTTTCCCCCCTCTCGCTCTAAGCATGTCCTCGGGTGAGGATTAAAACAAACAAAAAGGTAATTGCCTACTGACTTCTATGTCAACGTCAAGAACTAGAGTTCTTGCTTTTGTTCATCAATGCAATGCAGTGCAATACAATGCAATGCAGTGTGTTGTTTCTAACAAGCTAACAGAAAAAGAGCCTTTAAGTAAATTATGTATTAATTACATTTCTGTTGTTCCTTATCAGGTATGGTCTAGACTAGTTCAAAGAGAGTTAGATTGTATTTAGGCTTCTGTGTGTTAGTTCAGGAGTAATGCTGTTGAAACCGAGGAGGGATAAGAACAGTGGATTATTGAAAGTCAGAATAATGACATTGCACAGCTTTTACCTCCTTGGAGATGAATTTCTAGACCAAAGCTTCAATCGCAGTGTGAAGTATTGGATATTTTAGGGAAGGAGGATTAATCTTTATTAGAAGTAGTTATAAAAATGAATGTTAGATCATATGATTTTTGTTATAATATATGCTTCCTTAGCAAGTATTATGCTTTCTTAGCAAGTGTTACTGAGGACTTATCTATCAATTTCTATTTGCATGCTTATCATCTACAAATTTCAGCTGGAGTTATGAGGCAGTAAGGATTTTGAGCTAGGTGAAAGGAATGGCTTACTTGGGCATCCCATTAAGAACATATTTAATCATGAAAGTCAAATAGTAAGAGAATAAATTCTGTTTATTTAAAAATGTGTCATATGGTTGATTCCTGTTTTTCTTCACAAATGTTGATGGGCATGATGAATATTTTTTTAAAATTAGTTTTTATTATTTTAGAGAGGAAACATCAATGTGAGAAACATCAATTGGCTGCCTCCCACACACACCCTGACTGTAGATTGAGCATGCAACTTGAGGATGTGCCCTGACTGGGAATCGATCCTCTGACCTTTTGGTGTGTGGGATGATGTTCAACCAACTGAGCCACACTGGCCAGGGCTGAATGAGTATATTTTTAAAAATATATTTTTATTGATTTCAGAGAGGAAGAGAGAGAAACATCAATGATGAGAGAGAATCATTGATTGGCTGCCTCCTGCACACCCCACACTAGGGACCTAGCCCTGCAACCTGGGCGTATGCCCTGACCAGGCATCAAATTGTGACCTCCTGGGTCATAGGTCGGTGCTCAACCATTGAGCCACACCGGCTGGCCTGAATGAATATTAAAAAAAAAATCATATTGTTGGGTATAGTTAGCTATGTATAATGATTTGATTAAGTATGAACTCATTTAGTATATGACGTTTGCTGTTACATAAATTCTCAAGGATACAAGAAATGATTATTGTTAAAATATCTGTGTTGTCTTCCACTGACTATAATAATAATAGTTTTCTTTTTGGTTTTTAGATTTCCTCCTTCCTCACCCTTGAAACCATATCCAAAGAGGCCCCCATACCAAAAGGATGCTATTAAATTTCCAGAATGGAATGACCCCCCACCAGGCATGTCACAAGAGAACATCCCAGTAAGGCCACTTGTGATGGTAAGTGCCATTACTAAAAGACTGATGGCTAGCAGCAGGGAGAATAAGTAGTAGTCTGTGAACCCCCAGGCTTAGTCCAGTTCTCTCTGTCAGTTCCCTATGAACTATGGTCTGAACGTACTTTAAAATAATACCTTATGTGTCAATAGCTGAGAAATCAATAATAAAGAAAGACTAAGTTTTGCATTTTATCACTCTTGCATGGGCTGACACTAGAGGCCCAGTGCACAAAATTTTATCACTCTTGATTTTGACTGAATATATGGTAGCTGTTTACATATGTTCAGACTAAAAAGTTTTCTGTTAAAACTCCTTTATTCTTTTCCTTTCAGTTTTATAATTTGTTCTTTTCCCTCTTTGTCTCCTCCTCCTGAACTTTATCACCAGTTGAGAGTGAGAAGGTTGGGGCATGGAGTATTGTGGAATGAGCCCTACACAAAATGTGAACAGAATTTGCTATGCTGATTATGCAATGAACTTTTTGGGGGACCTATTTTTTCTTTAAAATATTCCCACTAAAGATTACCAAGATTGAAATAATGCTTAAAAAATAAAACGTAGAGACAAATTTTGAATGGCAGTTTTTAAAAATTATATAACATCAATGTGTTAAATTAATTTAGTCTGATATGACTTGACCAATTCATGCTTTTGTTTGCAAAGATTTGATGTAAACATTTTTCGTCAATGTAATGAAAAGAAAAAATATCTGAAGAAGTTGTATTATCTCAGTTTGGAGAATATAGTTAAACAGCTTAGGCTGTATCAAAGATAATTCAAGAAAAAGTGACACTGGTGACAGAAATGGGGACTCTATAGGGCTTACAGATATGTCAGGGACAGTGATGAATTTGGTTTTAAATATGTTTGATGATAAAGTTGGACTGTATTAAATGAAGTGTCTAGCTGAAACCGGTTTGGCTCAGTGGATAGAGCGTCGGCTTGCGGACTGAAAGGTCCCAGGTTCGATTCCGGTCAAGGGCATGTACCTGGGTTGCGGGCACATCCCCAGTAGGAGATGTGCAGGAGGCAGCTGATCGATGTTCCTCTCTCATCGATGTTTCTAACTCTCTATCTCTCTCCCTTCCTCTCTGTAAAAAATCAATAAAAATATATTTTAAAAAAAAATGAAGTGTCTAATAGGCAGTTGGGTTGTATTAAATGAAGTGTCTAATAGGCAGATGGAGATAATGGTGCTGGAACTTAGGGGGGCAGTCATATTTGGAAGTCATTAACTTATTCACTCAACAAAGATTTATTGAGTGTCTACTGTGTGCCTTGCATTGTGCTAGACTCTACAGATAGAGTAATATGTGGTACAGTTTTGTTCTAAAAGGATTCAAAGTCTAGTGAAGCATAACAATACAAACATAGATTCATAGAAAACATAGTGGAACTATTCTGAAAGAGTGAGCACAAAGGATATTTGAGGACTACTTAATTCCTAATAAGGAACACTTAATTAAGGTCTGCTTGCTAGTCCCTAACCTAGAGAAAATTAAAATATAAGTTCTGTGAGATAAGGTATATTGTTTTTTGCACATTCACATTTAAACATCTAATATGACCCCATCTGTAGAATTGTTATTCAACAAAAGAGATAGAATCCCATATTAAATTAATGTGTGTTTATGTCATCAATAATAACTTCCCTTTTCTGTTCTATTTGGTTCTTCAAAGTCGTGATATTCCTGGTATTACCTCTAGGAAAACCAACTGCTCGTTAGCATACTTCAATGCACCAATGACAGTGACTTCTATCTTCTATTCAGTTTCAAACCTTTCAGGATCCCTGAAGTGGTATACCAGTGTCTCGATTCATCCACCTTCCTGCCCCCAGTGTATCGTTTTCCTGGTCATCTGAATCTACATTTGTTTTGATAACTGTTGTCTTGCCTTTTCTCATACTTCTCCCTTAAATGGAATGGTAGAAGTTTGAAAGCTCCCTGCTTATTAGAATTCCACTAAAGCCTAGACTGCTACTTCTTGAGAATTGTCCAAAGAAGGAATGGCAGAGCAGGATCTGTTTCCCTTGATATAGGTGTTAGAATGATGGCGTTAATAATAGATCTTGAAGAACTTGAGCTTATTATTCATTTTTTATTTCTTACTTTCTCCACTTTGCTTGTTGGTTTTTGTTTTGTCCTATCTTCTCTCTTGCCTAGCCATTATCCTATATAATAAAGCAGTAATATGCAAATTAACTCTCACGCCCTCACAAGATGGCTGCCTACAACCAGGCTGGCAGGGGGGTTAGTGAGGGACAACCAAATGACTGAACAAGCAGGCTGCATGGGGCGACCAGGCCGGCAGGGGGGTTAGTGAGGGATGACCAAAAGACTGAACAGCGGGCTGCGTGGGGTGACCAGGCTGGCAAGAGGGGGCCATGACGGGCGACCAGATCGGTAGTGGGGGTAGTTGGGGGCGACCAGGCCAGTAGGAGGGGCAGTTGGGGGCTACTAGACCGGCGGTGGGGGGGAAGTTAGGGGCGACCAGGTTGGCAAAGGGGGGCAGTTGGGGGTGATTAGGCTGGCAGGGGGGGCAGTGAGGGGCGACTAGGCTGGCGGTGGGGGGGCAGTTGGGGGCAACCAGGCCGGCTGGGGTGGCAGTTAGAAGCGACCAGGCTGGCAGGGAGGGGGCAGTTGGGGGTGACCTGGCTGGCAGCTAGGGGCAGTTAGGGCCAATCAGGCCGGCACGCAGAGACAGTTAGGGGTGACCAGGCCGGCAATGGGGGGGGGGCAGTTAGGGCCGATCAGGCCGGCACGCAGAAGCAATGAGGGGCGATCAGGCCAGCAGGCAGGTGAGTCATTAGGAGCCAGTGGTCCAGGATTGTGAGAGGGACATCCCCCGAGGGGTCCCAGATTCGAGAGGGTGCAGGCTGGGCTGAGGGGACCCCCCTTCTCCCATGCACGAATTTTGTGTCCTGGGCCTCTAGTATCAAATAAAACGAAATACATAAATTTATTTTTTGTATTTGCTGAGGGTGGCAGTATAGTGTGGAAAGTAAGAGTGTGGGCTCGAATCTTGGCTCCTCCATTTTCTACCTGTTTGAGCTTGTGTCTGTTTGATTCATTGTGTTTCTGTCTCAGTGTTCTTTTGGGTGGAACTGGGATGATAATACCCCTCTGGGCTAGGATTGTTTCAAGAATCAAGTGAGTTCACACAGGTACTCCGTAATGTATTTAAAAGAATTGTTTACAGGTAGTGACAAAAGAAAAAATACCCATAATGCCAGCAAACTGCAGCTCGCGAGCCACATGTGGCTCTTTGGTCCCTTGAGTATGGCTCTTCCACAAAATACCACGTGTGGGCGCGCGTACAGTGCAATTGAAACTTCGTGATCCATGCGCAGAAGTCGGTTTTTGGCCTGGGCGAGTCTATTTTGAAGAAGTACTGTTGATATTTGGCTCTGTTGACCTATGAGTTTGCCGACCACTGCCATAATATCATCCAGATATTAATTAATAATTTTTGTTGTGTATTAGTTTTCCTCCTTGCCATCTCCAGCTGTTCTCTGTGGAGGTTTATTTTACCTGCCTTTGGCACATGCCTATGGTCTGGGGGCTGCTATTCAACATTGTACTTATTTGATCTTTGCTTACAAAAATGAGAGAACTCTTGACTGTCACATAATTTTTATTTTAAATAATCATTCAACTTGGACAGTGTATGAACTTGGATAGGCATTCTACTTAATTTTGAAATAATAAAATTTTATTTCATTGCTACTTCTCGTGATTATTTGGAACTCCCACAGGAAATGTCATGCTTATCATCATAACTCTTTTGTAATTCCTGAATATTAATTTATAATATGACCTGATCTTTAGTAGCCAAACTTTATTTCTCTGCACTGCATGCAAAGAAAGTTACTTTATTTCTTTTTATTTTAAATCAAATTACAAATAAAAAAATTAAAGAATTTCTTATAAAACAATACCACTGTCAATTGAAATATTCTCTTTCTTTCTACTCCCCTCCCTGCTATCAGAATTCTGAGATGTGGTACAAGCGTCACAGTATTGCTATTGGAGAGGTGCCGGCTTGCCGCCTTGTCTACCGCAGACAGCTGACAGAAGCCAATGTAGAAGAGATATGGAAGTCTATGACATTATCACAGTATGTGCATTTGATATTAATGAGACTTTTTAGTGTTTTTTTCTAATTTCTTCATTATTCTTTGCATATTTAATTTTCTGAAATTACGTATAAAAATCTGAACTTTGCATTATTTGCAGCTGTGCTGCTTATCAAACATAATTTAACTGGATTCTGGTTTATTTTCTATGTAATTTATATAATAGTTAAGAGTAGACATTTGAAAGTCCTTTAACTTTCTAGTAATACTGAATTCTTAATGAAATACAATGAGAAATATGGTCTTTTAAATATTTTATGTACTATGTAATTAAAGTGAATAGCAGGTTTTTTTCTCACAAAGATGTACTAGTAGCTGTTTCTCATCATTGGATAAGCTAATTCTTGTTTTTATAATATCTTATGGGATTTTCTTGGCATTTAAGGTGTTACGTCATTAAATTACTAAAGCAATATGTTAATGGCAAAAGGATATTTTTCAGTGTGTTCTATTATAATCATTTTCTAGCCTTTGCCCCACAAGGATTGGGTGAAATGAAAGAAAACAACACAGTACAGTTTAAAGATTGATATTTTACAGTGCTAGGATTTGGGGTAAATAATGACTTTAAAAAAAAATTAAACTAAATAATGTAATTATCATCTTTCTTTTTAGTTTACAGAAAATACTTGGCCTTGATTCCTTAGAAGAAGTTTTAGACATTAAACTTGTCAAGTCCAAGTTCATCATACATAATGTATATAGTGTGAGCAAGCAGGGAGTTGTTATCCTTGATGACAAATCAAGTAAGTGCATAGAAACCATTTTGTTTCTGGTTGATCCATATGTTGGCTGCTTGATCTATCACCTTCTATTTGACTCTTCTCTAAATCCTAAATAAATTTATACTCGCTCATCTCACATCCTGATACCTTTTAACTAATTGTTTGGATTAAAGAAATTTCATAGAATGATGAATACTCAGGGGTGAAAATGTCAGCAAAATCCATCTAGAGGCCAGTTCAATTAGCCACAATGAGCATTAAAAGGTTCTGTATTATCCTCAGAAAATCCCTAAAAAGTGAGTAGGTTTAAGACCTACCTTAGAGCTTGAGTCAGTTTTCGGTGGATCCTGGGGTCTGATTGATTTTAGGTTCTCATTGACCTTTTTGTTATGATATTTCCGTGTCAGTGTTTCTGGGATACTTTTGGTTTATGTCCTTTTTATAAATGTAGCTTTTTAGATGTTGAAGGTGTTTCTATTTTTTATACCCTTTTTTTTTTCAAGCCAGTTTACAGATCAGGAAAAAAACAAACATTTAGCAGCTATCTATCCTGTTTTGTTTTAAATATATTTTTATTGATTTCAGAGAGTAATGGAGAGGGATAGAGAGATAGAAACATCAATGATGAGAGGGAATCATTGATCGGCTGCCTCCTGGATGACCCCTACTGGGGATGGAGCCTGCATGTGCCCTTGACCAGAATTGAACCTGGGGCCCTTCAGTCCGCAGGCTGATGCTCTATTCACTGAGGCAAACTGGGTAGGGCCCTGATTTTTGAAAAATACTCTCACAGTACATGTAGTGGACCAGAATCTCCAAACTGATTTTACAACTTCCTTCCCCTGAATAAGGGATGGGCTAGAATTGAACAGTCTCTTTAATTGGGTCTTCCTTTACTTCAAACACTTAATCCTGGGATTTAACTGGAACTGGAATGACCTTTGGATGTGGGAAGGTGGTACAGTACTTTTGGGTTTGTTTTTTTTTTAATATATTTTATTGATTTTTTTACAGAGAGGAAGGGAGAGAGATAGAGAGTTAGAAACATTGATGAGAGAGAAACATCCATCAGCTGCCTCCTGCACATCTCCTACTGGGGATGTGCCCGCAACCCAGGTACATGCCCTTGACCGGAATGGAACCTGGGACCTTTCAGTCCGCAGGCCAACGCTCTATCCACTGAGCCAAACCTGTTTTGGCACTTTTGGGTTTTATTAGAGTTTAGGCTGGAGGCTCCTGGCAGCAAACAGAGCTGTACCAGAAGGAGACCGAGCAGTGGTGAGAGGGAAGAGGTTGCTCAAGGCCAAGTTTCCTGACAGGAACAGAATGTGTCTTTGAAACTTGAAATACTTCCCCTTTTTAGCCCCTGTCTCAGGAATGAAGAACATCAGGAAACAGAAATACATTTGTGAATTCATGAGTTGTCTGGTTAATACCAACATGTAAAATTAAGTTACATAGAATGAGGGGGGTGTTGCCTTTGAAGTAGATCTAAAATACTTTCACATTCCTGAGTATAGCAAACATTAATACTTTCAGCTACCAGGTGGATGACCAGTCATTTTTTTTTTTTTGTCTTATTAAGTAAGTTCTTCAGCAAGGAGGACAATCACAAGTCTCAGGTTCATTAGGTCTAACAATTCAACCAGTGTCTTTTCAATTTTACCGAAAGTAGAGAAAATGAAGAAGTGGAAGCGTGAGTGCCAGCCCATCTCATCAGATGCCTGTGCCAGGAAGGAGGAAAACACTCTATCAAATGGCTCACCTAGGATTTTTTGTAGCAGTGTTAACCATTATTATTTTAAGGCTGTTCTAATATGAATAGCCTACACTAATATGTCAGTAGAACTTGGTTTGCTTAAAACATTTTGAAAATTGAAACATGTAAAGTGATACCTATCTTTTTTTCATTGCCAGATGTAATTCTTAGGATAATTGATTTGTTTGTTAGTTTGTTTCCCTGGAACAAAGGATCAAATTTCTTCTTGTCTCTAAAGCTTTAAAAAGTTCATCTTGTCCTTAGAGAATTTTGCAGGCATGATTTATACAAGCAAATGTACCACTGCTGCTAAGGAAAAATTTTCATCTTTTAAAGTTCTACATCATAAATAAGTGATTTTGATTAGCAGATATGTTTTATACTACTTAGGCAAGTACTACATTCTTATGATACCAATTATGTATGTAATTTCTAGAGTTATATGCAATTGAATAAAATATCTTTTTATTTTTCTGCAGAAGAACTTCCTCATTGGGTACTGTCAGCAATGAAGTGTTTGGCAAATTGTAAGTACTTATTGTCTGCCAGTTTTATGAAATTAACAGAAATTAGCGCCCTGAATTAGAATATATTTTTGCTCAATGGCCTGAACCTGTGTGACTGGCAGTTAATATTTTGAGATTACTATACTTTTACTGATAAATGTGTGACTTGGTGAAAGGGCTGATGATAGAATGAGTTTAAAGGAATTTGTGTTTTCATTTTCTGTTGTCTGATTTTTATTCCTAAAACATGTGTTCCTAATTATGTCCTATATTTACATTATCAGTTTGCTTAACAGATCCTGTCTACTATTGGCTTTTTACAGGGCAATAGTTTAAGTGGGAGAGAAATGTTTTAGAAGACTGATCTGATTGGTATGCAAGATGGTTTGGAAGGAGAAGAATGCAGAGAAGCAAGAAAGACTTTCAGTAATTTGGATGTATGATGAAGGCACCTGTATCAGGGTGGTCTTTTTGAGGTTTTTCATAGGCATACAAAATCCATTTCATAGGCAGTTGATAACTACTTTATTCAATTATCCTAAGAATTATATCACTTTATCAGATTATATCACTTGATTGGTTATCATAGGCACTGTGAAACAACAAATAATTGTAGTATCTCATTTAACATTACTATTTTGGGGGGATTTTCAGAAGGCTTGACCTAAAGAAGGGATTTTAATGGTTAATGGCTTAACTCAAACCAATGGTTTTAACAAGAAGAATTCTAGTTATTTGGCTGACGGATAGTGGTGGTATTCTCTGGGTCTTTTGAAGCATCACAGATCACTGCAGAGAGGTAATTTCTTTCTTCCCTTTTGGGTGAGACTAGTATGAGCAGAGATAGGTGTATAAATTCTTGAATTAGTAGACTCTGTATTACTTAACTGAAGTTTGTTTTGTTTGATTATAGAATGAAATTAAAATAACTATTCAGATGATAGAGGGTGATCTCAGTGTTGATATATAAAAAATGATTATATATTATCATTCTGAGTGTGAATAGCAACATTAGTTTATGTGAAGCCCAAAGAGCTCCATGTATAATTAACTATTAAAAATATTGGCCAGTTTTGGTTAATATTTTGGAACCTCTGAGATGGAGAGTTCTATGGTTTTACCTTGGGAGAGTGATTTTTATTCTTGCTCAATCATTTGAAATCGCTTAAGTTTAAATTATATATTTGGCCAGAGTTGGCAGGTACAAGATAGAAAGTGTAAATGGGAGGTTAAATGGCCCATTTCTGAATTCCTGGCAAACTTAGGACTTGGAGGTTGAGGAAGCCAGAATAACAAACCTAGACTATAATATGTTGTAAAGTGTATATTAAGGTGTGACTATAATGTTGAATTTTCAGTGATGATCAAAACTTAATGAAGAGTATAGTTTTTCCTCAAGGAAGATGTATACATAAAGCCACCAAACTTCTGCAGAAAAGGTTAGAATAACTGGAATTGCTCATCAATGGAGAGGAAAGATGTGAGGAGCGACTCAGTAATGTTCTCCATGTGTGTCAGGTGGTGTAATATTAGGTGGAAATTCTTGGGACAGGAACATGTCTCATATGTAGCAAGTGCAGTGGATGGTTGGCATATTCATAAAGATGCTTATTTATGTGTCAAAGAAAACAAGGTGGTCAAAGAGCAAAGTCAGCCTTTTGATTAGTTTTATAAATTAAAAGCCCATTGCACGAAGATTCGCGCAACAGGCCTTCCTTCCCCTGACTGCCGGCACTGGTTTTCCTTCGGCACCTGGGACCCAGGCCTTTGGTCTGGCTGCAGCGGAGAAGCCAAGCCTCTTCAGTCTTCAGTCTTCACTCCAGCCGGAGCCTTCAGTCTTCGCTCTGTGCCTGCATGTGCAACTTAACCGCCATCTTTGTTGGGTTAATTTGCATAGTTGCTCTGATTGGCTGGTGGGCGTAGTGGAGTGACACCAATTTGCATGTTTCTCTTTTATTAGTATAGATTAGAGGCCCGGTGCACAAAAATTTGTGCACTTGGGGGGGGGGGTCCCCTCAGCCCGGCCTGTGCCCTCTCGCAGTCTGAGACCCCTTAGGGGATGTCCACCAGCTGGCTTAGGCCCAATCCCCCGGGCATTCAGACATCCCTCTGGCAGCCTGGAAGCCTCCGGGATGTCCACTTGCCAGTGGGGAGCAGGCCTAAGCTGCAGTCAGACATCCTTAGCATTGCTGAGGAGGCGGGAGAGGCTCCTGCCACCACCACTGTGCTGGCAGCTGTCAGCCTGGCTTGTGGCTGAGCAGAGCTCCCCCTGTGGGAGGACACTGACCACCAGGGGGCAGCTTCTGCATTGAGCATCTGCCCCCTGGTGGTTAGTATGTGTCATAGTGACCCAGTTATTCCCAGTCGTTCTGTTAGGGTCAATTTGCATATTACCCTTTTATTATATAGGATTAATTTTTCCAAATTCTCATTGGTCTCCAAAATTTCTTTTGAATCTGTTAAAGTTATGAACTATTTCTTACACTTATTATTTTTAGTGAGTCCAGATTCCCGTTGTAGTCATCTACAATGGGAGCAGAAAGGATAGACTGATTATATAATATTTTGAAGGCCTAGGGCCTTCTTTGCTATAAATCTGCTGCTCCCTTCTTCAAGCCTGTTTGCATTTAGTGTAGACCATGCACACATAGGCCTGGGTACTTTCATTGTTGGCTAGCCTTGTGGTTGACCGCAGAATGAAGAACTAATGCCAGATAAATACAAAATCAGGTTAATTGTGATTTTTTCTTCTTTGTGTGTGTAGATTGCAAGCATTCAATCAGAAATGGATACAAACAACTCTTCCAAAATCTGTCAGGAATAACATTTATAAAAAACTAGTTTTAAAAAATATTCTGAAGCTCAAGATAATTAAGAAATGAAAGATCTTAGAAATATGGCCTCTTCTCATAGAGCAGTAGTATTTTTAGGAAACTCCCCCCCCCCCCCATATTTTGTATATTTTTAACAAGATTGATGGAATGTTCACAAAAGGGTACAATTGTTTAGAATGAACTGCATATTTATCCTGGGAGGGAGGAAGTCAAGGCAATGTGTTTGCTTGCTGAGACATATCAAACTAACAATAACATTTCATTTGACTTAGACTGTAATATTTTAGAGGAGGAAACAAGCAAAAAATGGTGGTGGTTTGCTGCTAGGTTAATGTGGTACCACACATAAAAATCTTTCAAAATTTTTATTATTTTAGCCAAATTATTTTAGAAGTGTACAGAATATTAAGAGGTAAGAAGCATGTTTTAGAGAGACCAACAAAAAGCCATATTCACTATGTTCAATTTCCTTGAAATGTGAAGGCCCAGAATGCTTGTCTTTTTCAGTTTGATCCTTTCTAGTCATAGCCGTTCTGTAGTTAGAATTTCCTTTCAGTTTATATTGGCTTCATCTTTCATTCTCCTGAGGGAAGAGATCTCTTTGGGTACAGTTGTTGAGTCTTGTGTTCTGCTAGCCCGGAACTGGCCAGTGCAATTAAAGTTCTTTCTTCCATGTGGTGATGGAAATAGAGAAGGCTGGCCAAACTGTTCCTTATGGGATTGCTTGCCATTTCCCTGAAGACATGGGCAGCTCTAGTTTATCTCTCCACTTAACAGTGTAAATCTGTGGTCTCTTGTAGGTATTGTTTGGGGCATTTGCTGCCAACTCTGAAGAGAGCTAAGCATTTCTTCTTCTTCTTTGGTCCCAAATACAAGTAGATCTTTGCCTTGCTGCTGGCATAGGGTAGGGCTAGAACGAGGTTGTTCCAGGCTTCTTATAGTTACTCCAACTTTGCAATATCTGCTTGATAAACTGTCTTTTGATGATTGGTTGGGGATTGAGTAGAGAGTTTTATAATCAGAATGAAAGACATAATGTAAAATCCCCATTTCAAAATATCTATAAGAAAGAATACATAAATTCTTAATTAGTCTGAAATAATTTAGAGACAGAACTTGATAATTTCACTCAACTCTGACTCTAGAATATTATAATATAGCAATGATAAAATAATGAAAAGCTTTAGGATTGTTTTGTAATTATCTATTACACGTGTGAGCTAATTGTTATCATGAGCTAATGGTTATGGTTAACTGTTAAGACTAGGAAAATATTGAATATTTCAAAGAATATTATTGTTGTTTTCATTTAATAAAAATGCCTTCCAGAAGGACATAAAAGAAGGAGTGGGTTTCTTTTAAAATGGAAGTAAGCCAGTGATTTTTCTCATTGTGTTATAATAGATTCCAATGTAGACATAAATCGTATTTGTGTAAGCAAAATGTATAATGTCAATTTATTTGATGTAAGTTTTCCCCATGAAAACTTTTCTGATCTTGAATATCTGTACAGGATACACATATGCATAGAGGTTAGTACTTAGTGGGTGCCCTGTTAATGTTTCTCTTTCTATCTCATTCTCTTTTTTCAATAGGGCCTAATTGTTCAGATTTGGAGCAGCCTATGTACTTAGGATTTGAGAAAGATGTCTTTAAGACCATAGCAGACTACTATGGTCACTTGAAAGAGCCTCTGCTTACATTTCATCTTTTTGATGCCTTTGTCAGTGTTTTAGGTAAGTTGGAATATAATGAGCATTTATCTGCATTGAATATTGAATCATTTCATTTTCATTATCACGAGACCCCATTAGCCAAACTTCCATAGTGTTTTTGAAATAAAAACTAAAAGGTACTTGCCTAGTTGGTGTCCTGTCCTTAAAGGGGGAAATGGAAATGGTTAAGCTCTATTATGAAACTCAAAGCAAGGACTACTAATTATTTGTTAAGAAAGAATAATATGTTGTATGCCATTTTTGTACAAAAAGGTATGAGTTAGTTGAGAGAGAAGAATGTAAATTTGACATTTACTGTTCATGAGTAAATCTGCTACTCTGGTTGTGATGTCATAAATAGGTTTGAAAGGTGTATTTTCATTTACAAATCTAATTTTTATGGAAGGAACAGATTTTTATAGAGCTATTTGTTATTTGTGACATGTAAAATATAGTAACTTGATCATTTGTAAAACTTGTTGCTATTCCTCACGTAGATTTGTTCTTCAGAATTTACACTGTCAAGAAAACATGGTGAGCCCTAGCCGGTTGGCTCAGTGGATAGATCATCGTCCTGTGGACTGAAGTGTCCCAGTTTAATTCTGGTCAAGGGCACAGGCCAGGGTTGCAGGCTTGATCCCTAGTAGGGGGCATGCAGAAGGCAGCCAATCAGTGATTCTTTCTCATCATTGATGTCTCTATTTCTCTCTCCCTCTACCTTCTTCTCTGAAATCAATAAAAATATATTAAAAAAATAAAAGAAAGCACCGTGAAAAGGAAAAAAACATTAACATTTGCTGTGGGTCTTTCTGAAACTGTTTCTTTTTCTAGGAAACCAGATTTTCCTCTTGCTGTTATGATTGTTCAAAAATACTACTGTTTTCTTGTTGAAAGGTTTGCTTTAATAACCAGACCATTGTGTGGGTATCATCCTCTATTATGTAAATTTTTACGAATTAGAATACTCTTGCATTTGAGTATTGTGGGGTTAGCAATCTTCCCATTTTCTTTTTTCCCCTTTCTCCTTCTTTTAGTGTTACTTCCTTCTTGGAAAGTATGGATGTTGCCATAGTATCCTAGAAAAATAAAGTATTAACAATATGTGAATAATTTACCTGATCTCATAGCACAGTACTTTAAATTGTAAGATTTTGTAGGTTTCCTGATAATAAGAAACAAAAACAACAATTATAAATCATGTACATAAGGGTGAATCTGTTTCCAGAGACACATTATTGATTTCAGAGTGGGAGACTGAGAGAGATATAGTAGAAACATCAATGATGAGAGAATTATTGATTGGCTGCCTTCTGCACACCCCACATTGGGGTAGCCTCAACCCGGGCATATTCCCTGAGCAGGAATATACCATGACCTCCTGGTTCATAAGTCAACGCTCAACCATTGGGCCCCACTAGCAGGGCTGATGCAGTCCTTCTTAAGTGAATGTTTGAGACACCCTGCATTGAAAACCATACCCTTATGTAGTAAAAGAAGAAAGTCTTCTAGATTATGATAGGCTATAATTTGTTTATATGATTAACAAAGATTATTTAATATAGAAATCCTGTTAGACCCTGTCGAAAAAGATATCTAGAAACTGTGTATCTACAAATTAGATGTGTAGGTTGAATCTCAGGAGGGTTAACTCATTCCTTAAACGTTTTGACTTACATTGATTGGAATAGGATACCATTAGGTAATAAAGTAGGTAATCAATTTTGTGTAGAAGCTAAAAATCCTACAGCATTTTCAATAGAAATGATTTTCAGTTTTGTTAATGAATTTCTTTTGAGGTCTATTCTTTGACCTCTAGCATGAAATAATGCTAGCTAATGCCAAAGCTGTGACACTGACAGCAGTTAACCATTTTTGATATATGAAATAAAGACATCTAAGGGTTCTTAAAAGAAAAAAAAGGACTTTTCAGAGATGTAAGACTTATTCTTTACTTTTATAATTTTAAAAAAATGATTTAATTTGGCTCAGTGGTCTGACCTAACATAACTGTCCATAATAATTAGTTTTTATTTCCAAAATGACAGTTCCTTGTATTAAGATCAGAGTTCATCTGATCCTTGAATTGGGTGAATGAGGCAGTATAGCATCCTTTATTCACACTCCACACACACCCTAGATTCTGTGAAGCTTGCACTAATTTGGCATATTGAGGAAAGGGGCAGCAGATAGGAAGGAAGCACATAGGGCATGGGAGCAGGGTAGAGTACTTGTGAAAATTGGGTGCCTTATGGGTTGCATGTGTAATCTGAAATTCCACAGTAGTGTTCTGTGGGCCAGGCTGGCTCATACATACATGTAGCCTGTATGTTTTGAAAAGAAATTTAATTAGTTGCCAAACTCTAAGAAACAAGAAATTCATGTAAGAATTTATAATTTTGGATTCTTTAGAGAAATGGGAGGATCTGGCAATTCTGGGCTTGAATTTTGAGTGGCACAAACTGCTGCGGCTGTGTAGTGTCTCCACTAGAAGGAGCAAGTGTTTCAGGTACATGAATTCCAGTTTGCCAAGTCTCCCATTGCTTTTCAGACTCTAAAGCCCAGTTCACTTAATCCCCTTTGTTCATTTATTCTATTTATCTGTTTTTGTAGGCAGTTGAGCCCAAGACTCCTGGTTTATTTGCTAGTAGGCTGTAAGACTGAGATAGTAGCTCTTTGCTGTTCCCTTCTTACTAAATGTTAAGTTTATAAAATGCCATTGAAATTCAATAGACTGATTATATATTGGATCATCTTACTCAATAGGTTGAGATCTCCTCCTATGTTTTTAACCTAGAAATATCCATAAGGATAGTTTTCTATTCTTTGTTTCTTCTTTCTTCCTTCTTCTTTCTTCTTCTTTTCAGAGAGTGCCTTGGTAGTGTGCTTGATCAGACAGAGGGCTCTTGTCCATTTTAGTCCAAAGTTCTTACTGGTGATGCTCTCTGCTCTCAGGGCCTTGGTCTTGCTTATGACTGGAGCTTTTAAAGATGCAGCTGGGCCAAGGTAGGGATATTGAATCACCTCCAAATGTAAGGACTACTGTTATGTCAAGATTGTTGGCAAAAGTGACATTAGGTACTCCTTAAAGGTGGAAATTTAGAGAAGTGCCTAGGTATTCCCTGGTTATAACTAAACGCATAAGGTATTTATAAGCATACTGTTAGTCACTAGGATGATTGAAAAAACTTTTGGAAAAAAATTTAATACCTTTCTCCCACCATTCAGCAGGATAAATTCCAGCTGTGTTAGAGAATTAAATGAATGTAAAAATTCAAATTCTTAAATATAGTTGACATTTATCTGATGTTGGGGTAGATGAAGGACTTTCTAAGCATAAAGGTAAGAGAAGTCATAAATATGCTAAAGCATTGGGACTCTTCATGTAGGAAAGGGCATCATCTTGTGTGTGGGTGAATCTGTATCCACTTTTAAGCAATTCACAAAGGCGTCTTGTTTGCCTTTCTTTAAAAGCCTCTAGAAATAGTCTCTCTTGCTGTGTCTTTCTTTAGGCAGGGTATTCTTTCCAATTGATGTGTAGTCTGAATTCTTTAGGCTTAGTATAAACCTTTTCCTTCTTATATCTCTTTTCAGTGAAAATGAAACTTGACATTTTTTTTATTCCTTTGGTTGTTCAAAACTGCAACAAACCCTTTTTGAATCTCTTGTTCCCTGGCTGAACATACATGGGCCCAGTGGCCTTTCTGGGAACTCTAGGCTCTCTAAAAGTCTTCATATTTCACTTCTTTTTTGAGGCTCCCATAAGGAATAGCTTATTGTTAACATTACACATGTTAGTGGAATGATTGGGTCTATTTTATAAAAATGAAAATTTGTTTTCCTAATTATTTGAAAATAAAATTCTGATATAACCATTGGGGAATGATAGGGAGGACAACAAGGGAAGGTCATCATGGCCAAAGTGTCACCTAATCTCTAATGATATAGAATATTATAAATTTTCATTGATTTTGATTTCACTTATTTCTGTCTTAAGGGACAGTTGGGTTTCTTTGAGTATTGAATTATTTACACTTATTATTCCTCAATACAGCTAAATATTGAAATGTTTTCATGACTGAAAAAACTCACAGATGATTTGGTGGATTTTTAATTATCTTTTTATTATTTTATTCTTATTTCATCATTGAAAACATTTCCAAACTCAGGTAACGTGGTTTGTTGACCTAGTTGTATTGACTTTGGGCCCCAGTTTTCTCATTGATAAATGGCAGTAATGCCTGTCATACTAATAGATATAAAAGTTAGTGCAATGGGCAACACTTATTTTCCTACTAAAGTATCTTTTTTAAAAAATATATATTTTTATTGATTTCAGAAAGGAAGGGAGAGGGAGAGAGAAATAGAAACATCAGTGATGAAGGAGAATCATTGATCTGATGCCTCCTGTATGTCCCCCACTAGGGATTGAGCCTGCAACGTGGGTATGTGTCCTGACTGGGAATTGAACCGTGACCTCCTAGTTCATAGGTCAGCACTCAACCCCTGAGCCACACCGGCCAGGCCTAAAAATAAATACCTTTTATTTTTGTTTTAAAAACTACAAAAATTAGAACAATGCATAAACTAAGATAGGATAATCATATGTTGCTATCTAGTCATTTCTTCTTTCAAATGATAGGAAGATTTTTATGTAAAGTTATTTGTGATGGATTTTTACAATCTATGATTGAAATAAACACTATTATATCATTCTGAAAAGGAAACAAATTACCTATGGGGCTACAGAAGGCCTATGTCATTTTCTCGAGAAAAAGAAGATTCAGTATTTTTATGATGACATTGTAGAAATGGTGAAAGATGAGAAAGTTACTCTTTTAGCTTCCATTTTAGGAAAATGAAATGAATCAAAATAATAAAATAGTTACAACATTAAAACTCTTTGTCTGTAAATGACAATAGAATGCTAATGTTCTTCAGAAGTTCTTAAAACTGAACCTAAAAAACCAAGACACTCCTTAATATCAGTAATACTTTATGATCTTGAAGAACCCGAAAATACT